TACAAGGGCATGAAGTGACAGTATGAGGGATAACAGTTTTAAACCGGAGGAGGGGAGATTCAAGTTCTTCCTTTGAAGGTGTTGAGACACTGGTGCAGGTTAAACAGAGAAGCTGTGGGTGACCCTTCCCTGGTAGTGCTCCAAGGTTGGATGGGGCTTTGAGCAACCTGGTCTAGTGGGAGGTGCTCCTGCTCACGCAGGAGGGTTGGAACTTGACAATCTTTAAGGTCCTTTCCAACCCAAAGCATGCTCTGATTCTAGGATTTTGAGCTAAAGTTACTTTTCAGTTTAAAAATGTTGCCAATGAATGAAAAAATCTGCTATGTGAAAATTGACTCAATTATTTTTAGGCTATACTCTCCACGAGTCTGTTGATCTGCCTCTCTATGAAAAAACAGTGAATAATTATTCACTGGTGGTTCTTTGCACCACTTGTGGACACTTCCCTACTCATCCTCAGTTCTCTCTCTTGTAGACCGAAAAGCCAATTTCCATCCTGCAGATTTGTTCCTCAAAGAAAAGATAGTTAAGTACACTGCTGCCTCTTGCTGTAACTTGCTAAGGGACCTTTCTGAAAGCCCCCTCTAAATCCAAATGGACTACTTGAATCACCTTGTCCCTTTATTCACCAAGTCCTTGGAAGAACATAAAAGTGAATGATGCTTAAAATAGCCATACCGACCCAACTTTTTGTAACACTTCTGTTGAAAGCACTACTTGTACAGACTTTTTTTAGACAAAAAAACCCAAACCTGTCACCTGTTATCCAGGTAGAGAGAGTTTTAAGTGCAAGGTTCAAGCCACAGGTAATGCTTACAAATTTTCAAATTTTAATTCTTCAAGACTCACATGAGACTACTGTCTCACTTTTGTCTTTATTCTAGTCAACTTCTACAAAAAGATTTTCACTCACATTTTCTGTGCAGTAAAGGTCCAAAACAGGGACCTTTCTACCTTCCCTCACAGTGAACATGGATGTGAAGAACTGGTATTTTAATTCCAGGTAAAATCCACATTTCAATACAATTTCAAAATAATTTGTCTTTGTTGTTCTATTGAGTTGATGTAGGCACATTTACTTAAAAAATCTTGTGACAATAGTAATAAATTCCAGCATTAATGTAGTACCAGTTAAAAATTAATCCCTCTCAGAACATAAGAATGGGGACTTACCAAAGCAGGCTGCCTTTTCAGACACACCATAACTTAACATACAACTGTCTAAAATAGTTTTGTTAGTTTATTTCAGGTTTATGGTTTATTTGCACTTTTTTTTTTCTTTTTTCTTTTTGGAGTAACAAAATATGTTGGCATGCCCAATAATCAAATATAAGGCTAGGTAACTATCTCTGGCAAAACAGAACTAAGTTCCCCATGTGAAATTACAGGCAAAACCTAAAATTAGTCCAAATTAGCTTCTCCTTTTCTACCACATGACAAAACTTTGCTGATAAGGGTAATTAAATTCTCCATTTCATAGTATCACTTAATATTCTGATTTATTTTAAATTATCCTTCAAACTGCACAGTTAAGGAATACACTGCTAGAAATCTGAAACTGTGCTTTCAGTTTCCTGACAGTCTTTAGGTACCATTACAACATCATGATTTTGAGATTTTGAAAGTCGCAGGGCCTTTGTTAATAATTTTTTAAAAAAAGTTCACTTAAATTATGAATGTTGCCAATCTTCAAAATAATTTGGTATCCTGCAACATAATGCAAAATACATCAAAGTATTTGCAGGTAAGTATCCACATTTTGTAGGAAATCCTATTCTGCAAAGTAGATACTGTTATCCATAATCAACAGGAAGCATTTACTTCCAGCATTTCAGTTTGGCTTAGGTAAGAGAAATCATAGAATCATAGAATCCTAGGGGTTGGAAGGGACCTCAAAAGATCATCTAGTCCAACCCCCCCTGCCAGAGCAGGGTCACCTAGAGAACATCACATAGGAACGCATCCAGGTGGGTTTTGAATGTCTCCAGTGAAGGAGACTCCACAACCTCCCTGGGCAGCCTGTTCCAGTGCTCTGTCACTCTCACAGTAAAACAATTTTTTTGGATATTCACCTTGAACCTCCTATGCTCCAATTTACACCCATTACCCCTTGTCCTATCACTGGTCATCACTGAGAAAAGCCTAACTCCATCTCCCTGACACTCACCCCTTACATATTTGTAAACATTGATGAGGTCACCCCTCAGTCTCCTTTTCTCCAAGATACAGAGACCCAGTTCCCTCAGCCTCTCCTCATAAGGGAGATGTTCCACTCCCTTAATCATCTTTGTGGCTCTGCGCTGGACTCTTTCAAGCACTTCCCTGTCCTTCTTGAATTGAGGGGCCCAGAACTGGACACAATATTCCAGATGTGGCCTCACCAAGGCAGAATAAAGGGGGAGGAGAACCTCTCTTGACCTACTAACCACACCCTTTCTAATGCACCCCAGGATGCCATTTGCCTTCCTGGCCACAAGGACACATTGCTGGCTCATGGTCATCCTCCTGTCTACCAGGACTCCCAGGTCCGTTTCTCCTACACTGCTCTCCAGCAGGTCAGCCCCCAACCTGTACTGGGACATGGGGTTGTTCTTCCCCAGATGCAAAACTCTACACTTGCCCTTGTTGAACTTCATCATGTTTCTCCCCACCCAACTCTCCAGCCTAAGTCTCTCTGAATGGCAGCACAGCCTTCTGGTGTGTCAGCCACTCCTCCCAGTTTAGTGTCATCAGCAAACTTGCTGAGGGCACACTCTGTTCCCTCACCCAGGTCGTTGATGAAGATATTGAACAGTACCAGTCCTGGTACTGATCCCTGAGGGACTCCACTAGTCACAGACCTCCAGCTAGATTCTGTCCCATTGACCACAACTCTCTGACTTCTTCCTTTCAACCAGTTCATGATCTACCTCCCTACCTGACCATCAACAGCACGCTTCCTTAGCTTATATACAAGGATGCTGTGTGAGACAGTGTCAAATGCTTTACTGAAATTAAGACAAACCACATCTACCACCCTACGATCATCTATCCACCCAGTTATTTCCTCATAGAAGGCTCCAAGGTCAGTCAAATATGACTACAGCGATGATAACCAACCCTCCTCTTCACTGTCAGCACACTCATTCCTAAGAAGTCATCCAACAGGAGAAAAAAATCAAAGTCCTAGAAAAGTGATCACAGGAAAGGAAGGGCTGGGCTCAAACATGAAGTTAAAACCTTCAAGGTGGGGTGCACTCTAGAGAAACATAATGAACATACACATTTTACAAAAAAAGAAGAAGTTTTCTTCCTCAGGAAGGGGACTTGATGAACTCTCCTTTGAATATTTCCATTATCTTAGCAGGAGAAACAATAAAATCAAATTATGCTCTAAGTGAAACTGATTTGTTATAAGAAATATAAACAAACTTAGAAATTTCATGTGTCCAAAGATAATGATAGGTATCTAATATTAATCAGTGATTTCCCTTTACTACATAATTTCAAAAATCAAGCTGTGCATCTGCTGTATTAGATACCCAGGCACTTTTCAACTTTAATGTTGACAGCTATCTTCTAAAACTTGATGACCATAAGAGAATTAAGATCTTACTACTCTTGTAAAAAAAAACAAACCAGAAAAAAAGCCCCCAAAAACCAAACTGGTTTTTAAATTACTGCCTCGTTAGTAAGATCAGCATATTAAGCTTGGCTGGAATACAGAGACGCAGTAGATTCTGGACTGTTGAGATTCCAGTTTGGTGTACTTTGGTGTTTCTGGAGGACTTCAAGCTCCACTGCACAAAGCAGCATTCAAAATTCAATAGGAAGCTTAAATGGAGAAACAGTTCTTGTCTGTGACTGGAAAATAGTGACATCAGCCAACTGGTTGATTACACTGGAATTGGGTCAAAAACATTGCTTTAAACAAATGTTAGCTAGCATACAGGGCAGCTGATCAAAACCAAAACAAGAATATAATCAAATCTGGGCAACACAAGGTAGTTTTATGACTTTTTAGCTACAACTGAGTACACAGCACTTACACCATTCTTTAGATCTACATGGAGAAATCTGTCTCAACTGTTTCTTTTGTGACAGCTGGGAGAGAAATCTCAGTTGCATATGAAAAGGACTACCCTCCCACAATTTGTAATAGATTTCACTGATAATGTATTGATGAATCAATTTGGTAAGTAAAAATTAAAGTCTATAAATCAAAAGTCATAGATATGTAACCCAGGATTCCAAACATAATATTGCATATTATTAAAATTAATGATTTAATGTCATGTAAGACTAATGGAGTTTAGGCTATATATTCAATGTTAAAGCTGAGATGTTATCACCTTCTTGTTAGGCAAGAGGAAACTTCAATGAAGGTAAACATGTAACTAGCAGAAAAAAAAAAACACCACTATAATTATATAATTAGTATAAGCAAATGCTGTGTGAGGCACCTGAGACTCCTCTGACTTTATTTGTGAATATTTAGCTAATTTAGGTTTCACTTCTGAAGATCACAGAGAATTATTGCTATCTCAATATTTTGGACTAAACTTTGCCCATATCTAACACAAAAAACAGTGCTTTCTATTTCAGTAGTGAATGCTTCTGGAATAATCATAGTATTAACTTGGGCAGAAAGAAGGTTATATAATACATATTTGTACAGAATAGTCTAAGTTATTAAAATGTTAAGTTGAATATATCATGCTTTCCTCCTCAGTTAACAAACTTCTCTTGTATAGAACAGGAAGAAAAAAACCCAGCTTCTACTGATTTGTATATGCAAGGCTGGTAAGTTTAAACAAGACAGTGAATATAAAATTATCATCAAAGAGAATCCATAATCTTTAAAGTTGCAGCTGATTTCAAACATTCCTTCTGATAGATTCCTAGTACAGCAATTTTTTAGAAGTATGAACACTCCAAATCTCCTCTATTTATAGGGAAGTTTGTAACAGGTTCAATTGGAGACATCAAAAACATTTTAAATAGACATCACAAGATGCGTCTGTAGTTTAAAGGTCAAATTTATTAGGAGATTAAGAGATGTATTATACGTGGACTATAAATACAGCACAGCTGACTTTATTCACAGTCAGACAGCCAATGCCAACCTATTTTGTAGACACCCTTGTTCTTTTGTTCCAAGAAAAGTTTGCACCGTAAGACTTGGATTTAGGTTTTGGAATCTTCTTCTCTTCAACATCATAGCTCCAGCCTGGAGGTTACAGGGGTAATGGTGGGGGGAGACAAGAAAAGAAGAGAATTTAAAACATTCTTAGCATACAATATAGAGCAAATGCAACCTAAACCTTTTAGCTTTAGTATCTTGTTCTCCACATAGGAATCCACTAGTTTTCTTCCTTTTTAGTTGGCAGCAGAGAAAACTGAAATGTCATACATGTGACATACACCCATTGTCTCAGTTGGTAAGACTTCACCATACTACCTACCTCACTTTTCTTTACTCCTACAAAAAACTTCACAGTTATCAGTGAAAAGCTCAACAGGGAACACTGCCTGTCCTGCAAGTCTATGGCTCCACAACTCCATAGCATCACAGATGTACTGTGTGTATGCTGGGCAAAAAAACAGGTAAAATAAAGAAAAGGAAATGCGGGAAAAAATAGCACACAGAAGATCTCTCTCAAAGGTCAGGAGAGAACGGAGACCTTGGAAATTTAGAAAAAAAAAAGAAGGCTGAGAGGACCAAAGAAAGTAAGAGCAAAGAAAGAGAAAGGTCAGGTTGGATGGGGCTTGGGGCAATCTGTCCTAGTGGGAGGTGTCCCTCCTGATGGCAGAGAGGTTTGAACTAGATGATCTTTAAGGTCCCTTTCAACTCAAACCATTAAGTTAATTCTGAGATTCTTTGAAAAAACTTCAGAATCAGAAAGGAGATTAATATTTAACATTTTTTTAAGAACCTAAAAAATGAGGAATAAAAGAAAAGAGAATGAAGTGATAGAAGACAAGTAAATTATGTGATAGTTAAGCAAGAAAAATGCTAAAAAATGTCAGAAAAGAGGAGGTGGAGACATAAGTGTTTATGTAAATCAAAATGCAAATTGGTTGCAGCCTCCAGGTGCCTGGAAAGTTGCCAGGGCAGCACTCAATATTCCAAAGTTTGGTCTCTTTAGCTGCAACATTTCACTCAAAGTTGAGATACCTGAGTTGAAGCTAGAAGTTGTCAAGTATGCAGTTTTAACTGACACTAATAAGACGATACTTTTCTTCCCTAGTTTTAAAACAAAAACTTGATAAATCCTAAAAGGCTTAACATATATCTGAATTTTTACATTTTAGATGGTAACAGAAAACACTAAAGATACCTCTACGCATCAAAACATGTTTTCTAAGATACACAAAGTATCGGATCATTGTTCCTCAATTTTGGGTATTCACAAAGTCACACAAACATTTTCTTCATGTTTATTAGGCTGAAGCAATGTTATTTTCCAACTTAACTATTCTCTGTAGAAAATACTGTAATAGTAGTTTTGAAAACATATTATTTCCATCTGTGCAAATACTAGCTTTTGCCTACTGTTCTGATTAAAAATATAAGTTTAAGTAAACAGACAAAACTAGATCCAGACACAGACTTAGGTATTTCAACATCCAGCACTGTAACACCTAACTCTGAGGCACTTGGATGCTGGAAGCGAATCTACAGCCCCAAGTTGTTGCTTCATCTTTTTAGACACTAGACAGAGAGAAGCTGAGTGCCTCCAAATGAGATCTGCATCTGCCAGAACAGTGACTTGGGCTGCTGAAGCTATGCAAAATCCACAAATGTAGTTACATCTAACTTTGGATTGGAAGAGGCCACCATATGTGATACTTTCACATTCTGGAACAGTCTCTTTGAGTTAGGCACTTTCAGCTGATCATGACAGAGAGCAGAGGTCAGTTTTATAATGGATCATAATGGTGGGGGAGGTTTCTTGCCCAGAACCCTGCCATACAAGCTAAGTGGATAGAAAGCAGATTTTATTGCCTCTGGAAGAACATCCTAATCACCTGACTAATCATTGCTGGGGAGTAGAAAAACTCTCCATCTTTGTTACTAAAGCTGTATGTTTTTAAACAACTGCATCAGCCATGTGGGCAGGACAAAAATGAATGTAGGTTGACAGGCTATAATTTCATCCAGTTGTAATGTTTCCTCCTTGTCTCGACTTCAGACCATCCTCAGCTGTTATACTTTGGACAGAAAATGTTCCCATTTTTGTAGTCAATGCTGTTATTTCTACATTAGAAAATACACTGGATAGGGCAGGCAGAAAAAGCTTGTCACAGGTTTCTAAAGTTCTTCGGTGAGAAAGTATAACTATTAATTTTCTTCCAGAACCTACCTGAATAAGGCTTGGTTCTCATTCAAAACAAAGATTCTTGCAAAACCATTACAAAACTAATGCTGAGACTGCAACACTTTCCCATAACATGAAAGGCCTAGATTCACTACCTCTGGCACATTCAGCAATATTCCCCCATTTTCCTCCTCCTCAAATAAAGCACTAACAGTTTACAAGTTTTGTTGAATAGAGGGAAGGTACTTTATCCTCTAATTTTTCTGTTGTTAATACTTTGAGTTGAAGATTGCCTATAGAAAGCTGTATCCCTGACACAGAATACGTACCATTTTTTTCAGCAAAGGCAATGGCATCTTCTTTAGTGGCAAAAGTAAGAACCATGTTGGATAGTGGATCAGCTCTGTAAGAAATCAGATGACAAATTTTAAGCACATTTGAAATATAATTATATTTGTATTTCAAATGCTAGTCAAAGGCTGTATTATGCACTTTTTGAAGTACACCTCAGGTGCCATTCAAAACTCCTTTATTTTTAATTATTTCCCGGATGAACACTGACTTTGTGCAGGCTATTGTTTCACTCTTACAGTCTCTTAAACTTTCTTCCTAACTTCTTGTAGAAATTATTATTTAGATTTTTTATTAGACAAACATGTCTAACCACTTGCTGAGGTTATATGTAGAGTTCTTTTTAATTTTTAAAGCTGTGTAGTTCCTCTCATTTTGGAAGATCAGGAAGCTTAAAGGTGCCCATTAACCTGGGAGACAATGCAGGAGGACAAGACGAAATTGCAAGAAACTACTGAAAGAGCTGCCTCTCAACTGTTCTCTCTTTGAAGTTAGAAGGGTAAACGAAAACACAACCAAAGATAATTTGAACTCTCTACAGTAAGGGACATATCCTAGGACTGCCAGAGGGGAGTGGAACAGGGGGAAATACAGCTTCTAGCAAAGGAAACAATGCAATTTTACATGACGTACACATGGAAAATTGATATATTAAAAACATACATCCAATACATTCCTCAATTAAAAAAACAAACACAAAAAGAGGATAAAGGCAGAAATTACACTTTCACAAGCCACTTAGATGGGTTCTCATAAAGACATTTAAAGATTTCTTTTGCAAAGGCAGTAAGGAGAATTATGAACTAAGAGTCAGTCCATGGTGTGATCAGTGGAAAATCAAGTGACCCAACTATACTGCAATATTGTGAAAACTTCTGCATATTATTCTTCTCTTCCACAACTAGGGTTGGAAAAATCTCGAGACTACTTAGCTGGGAAAAAAGAAGTTGTACACTAAAATGTAGTGAGGGACTGGTGCCTACTCAGTACTGCACGTCTGGTGAAAACCTTTCAGGACAGGCAGACGAGATTGGAGGACTACGCAGAAATATTTTAATGTGGGATCTTTTTAATGTTTTAATCTTTCATCCAATATAAATGTAGGTTTTTTAAATTTATTTTTGTAAATGAGCTATCCATGTGTTTAAATTTGTGATAATCTGAGCAAACTGGAGTTCAGAATGGCCAGGATGATGTCCTGAGAGTGTCAACAACAGAAGTTGTTGTTTCAGCTTCACTGAAAATAATTGTATCAAAGAAACAAGAAATGCAACATAAAAAGCAAACAAGACTATCAAGTGATAGAAATATAGCAAAGATGTGCAGGTAAATAAATATACTGAGTTGAGTGGAAAAAGGCTTTAATCTCTAGACCCTAAAAGGCTCTAATTCACTAATCCCACTACATTACTGAAAAGTAAATGGGAAAACTTCTAAGACCTTTTATTTGGAGAAATAAAATCTGAAGAGAAGAAACTCTTCTTACTTAGGTAAGAAGGTATTCTTGGTATTAGGTATTAGGTATTCTTGGGTGTTAAATGGTAATTTGAAATTACCAGAATGTCCACTAACAGTTTTTGTGAGAATTCCTTAAATTAAAAAGCTGGTTTACAAAACTCTTGACCTAGCAATGTTAATTCTCAACACAGCACTTGCTTTTGGCGTAGCTGGAGCTTGCTTGCACAGAAAATAGCCCTTTCCCTGACGCAAAATTAAAATGCATGCAGAGATGGATTAATTCAAAACAGGCGTTCCAGTTTAAATTCCCACAATAAACTCACGCCAGGACAATTTAAGATACAGGTAAGCCCTTAATACCATGGCTCATTTTTCTAGGTGGTTTATTTAGCACAAATGGTTGTGACTGTTAAAAAGGTTAAAAGCCCTCATTTTGGCTGAGACCATGCAAAATCCCACCCAGAAAATGGTAATTTTTCTGGGGAAGTTCAAGTCAGCTGGAAAGCAAAGGAGGATTAAAAACAAAACAAAACAAACCGAAACAAAAACCACAAAAATACCAAAAAAACCCCAAAACAACCTGAACTGAGGTAGGTGTTAGTGGCACCTGCTACAGTAGTATGATTTGTGCAGTGGTAAAAGTAGACCATAATTTAGTGTCTGGACACTTGGGGGCACACAAGACAGGAGGGAAAGGTGTATTGCTCGTAAATGGTCTATCAATTAATTGAGGCCCTGTGAAACAGCCTGCTCATTACTTGCTTAATGTAGTAGCTACCTGTAGTAGTTGAGTCATGCAAGCCATACATGTATTAAATAATTGAAATCTTATCCTCTGAAACATCAATTTAAATGTTTAAGGTGAAATGGTGAAAACTCTAGGATGTGCTTAAGAAGCAGTCATCGTTACATACACGCATGAAGTTCTAAAGAAGTTATTTTAAGATTATATTTTAATACAATTGCTATTTTAATTCATGTTTGGTGTTTTTTCTGCCCAAACAATAGCTGAGCTTGGCTTCTCTAATGCTTTGCAATATCAATGCAACTGAGATGTTACAGGTTAGAAGCTGCCTCAATTTTTAATGGGAAACCAAGATAAGAGGAAGACTTGATTCCACGGTTATTTTGAACTAGTATTTCTGAATACATTTATTCTGTAAATAAATAAAGGTAAAAAACCCCAACAAGTGTAACTGGATTAAGAATGCTAATAATCTCAGAAAACGCATCCTCTAATTATTTAAAATTTAAGGCTTTAAGTTATTTTTCCACAGAATTTTGCGGGTTTTGATCATAAGTGCCACTATAGATTGCAGCCAGACATTTTCAATACATGTATCCTTTTAGAAGTTTGAAAACTAACCTCTAGTGATTAATTTTTGTTTATGTAGAATAATTAACTTTTCTAAATATCCCTCAAACAAGACAGTTTCCAATGAAAATTACAATACTGTCAGATGAATTGCTGGCACAGTCCTCACAGTTTACAGGAACTCTAACGACATTGTAAAATGTAGGTAATGTATTTATATAAGGAAAAAACAATGAAAAATTAGTTGTATCCAAGTTATACTTGCATCTACAAATTACAGAATATTTTCCTAATTTTAGTAGAAGGGTTAGTAAAACTGCCACTTTAGACTTCTGGAGGGCAAACCTTGACCTGTTCAGAAGACTGATTGACAAACTCCCTTGGGAGGCTGCCTTAAAGCATAAAGGAGTCCAGGAAGGCTGGACACACTTAAAGAAAGAAGTTTCAAAGGCACAGGAGCTGCTGTCCCCGTGTGCTGGAAAACCAGTAAGTGGGGTAGGAGACCAGCCTGGCAAAATAGGGACCTTTGGCTGGACCTTCAGAACAAAAGGAGAGGCTATGACCTTTGGAAGAGGGGACAGGTCACTCATGAAGTCTATAAAGATGAAGTGAACCTATGCAGGGTGAAAATTAGGAGAGCCAAAGCACAGCTAGAGCCCAAACTATCTACAGCTGTTAGGGATAATAAAAAATATTTCTATAAGTTCATTAACAGCAGAAGGAGGATTAGGGAAAATCTCCATCCTTTATTGGATGCAGAGGGAATCTTAGTAACAAAGGATGAGGAAAAGGCTGAGGTGCTCAACACCTGCTTTGCTTAAGTCTTGAGCAGTGAACTAGCTGTTCCATGGATATACAGCCACATGACTTGGGTGACAGGGAGGGGATGCAGAATGAGGTCATCACAATTAAAGAAGTGTTCAGAGACCTACTGTACCACTTAGATGCACACAAGTCTATGGGACAAGATGGGCTACATCCAAGGGTGCTAAAATAGTTGGCAGATGTGATTGCCAGGCCACTTTCCATTATTTACCTGAAGTCCTGGCTAACTAGGGAGGTCCCAATGGACTGGAGGGCAGCAAATGTAACACCCAGCTGTAAGAAAAACAGAAAGGAGGATCGGGGAAACTACAGACCTGTCAGTCTGACCTTGGTACCAGGGAAGGTTGTGGAGCAGATCATCTTGAGTGTCATTAGAAGACATATAGACAATAATCAGGGGATCAGGCCCAGTCAGCATGGGTTTATGAAAGGCAGGCCCTGCCTGACAAAACTGATCTCCTTTAATAACCTGGTGACCTAGCTATTGGATGAGGGAAAGGCTGTGGATATTGTCTATCTGGACCTCCAAAAAGCATCTGACATGGCTCCCCATAGAAGTCTCATAAAAAACTCTGGCTGCTCATGGCCTGGATGAGCAAACGATCTGTTGGGTCAAGCACTGGCTGGACAGTTGGGCCCAAAGAGTGGTGGTCAATGGAGTCAAGTCCAGCTGGTGGCCACTCGAAAGTGGTGTTCTTCAGGAGTCAGTGTTAGAACTATTTCTGTTTAACATCTTTATTTATGATCTTGATAAGGACATACAGTGTATTTATCAGTAAGTCTGCAGATGACACCAAGCTAGATGGGAGTGTTGATCTGCATGAGGATAGGGAGGTTCTACAGAGAGACTTGGATAGATTAGATTGTTTGGCTAATGTTAATGTTATGTTAATGTAATGCTTCAAGAAGGCCAAGTGCCAGGTCCTGCACAACAACCCCATGCAATGCTACAGGCTTGGGGAAGTGTGGCTGGAAAGTGTCTGGCAGAGAAGACCTGGGGGTTCTCATTGACAAGTGGCTGAATGTGAGCCAACAGTGTTCCCAGGAGGCCAAGACAACCAATGGCATCCTGGCTTGTATTAGAAATAGTCTGACTAGCAGAAGTAGAGAGGTGATTGTCCCCCCGGACTCGGCACTGGTGAGGCCACACCTGGAGTATTGTGTCCAGTTTTGGGCACTTCAATTCAAGAGAGAGATATTGAGGTGTCAGAGCAAGTAGAGGAGAGGTGAGTATTGCTGTTTTGTCTAGCTAAATTTAAAAGATGCAACTGAGAGCTGAGAAGGATTTACAACTTCCAGTAACAAATATAAACCTCTTTCTCTGATGCTGCCATACACTAAAATGATTGCAAATGTAATTACTGAAATTTATGGCTATTAACACTTTTTTCAAACTCTACGACATGGTGTTGTGAGTTAAAAATGCTTTGAAACATCATTACTCATATGACTAACAAACCAAACCACTTACTGTAAGTACTGTTAAAATACAAATAGATTTTTAAGTAGAAAGGACACTTCAAACTTCAAGTTTAAACGACCAGTAAGAGCCAAATATTGAAGTAAAGTATTTCCAAATTCAGTAACTACTCACGTAGAAGCCCAGCCCATTAAAGGGTTCTCCCAGCGCTCCCTGTTATCAAATTCCATCTTCCATTTCTTTGTGTTGTTAACTCCTGCTTGCATTGCATTACGTGTGGGAACAAAAATGTGAACTTTTCTGGTTTTGATGTGCTCATCTGGAACACCAGTTAAAGCAGCAATATCCTATGAAAAACACAATGGAACTTGTTAAAGAAGAGTTCACTTAAAAGGCCTGTAAAATAATAGTGCTTATGCTTTTTAGAAAATTTCATGCTCTATTTTTAAGTTACAAAAAAGAAAAAAAAAGCTGCAGAAAACTGTGTTATGAGTCCAGCTGTATAAAAGTAAAGCTGAGACATGTTGGGGCTGCTATCTTCCTGCCTCTCCCAGCTGAATTAGCTGTTGCATGGATCAGTTACATGAAGCAGCTCACCTCCCAGCTACGCAACAGCTGGTGCCAAAAGAGGGACATGACAATGCCTCCCATCCTCTGACCACAGCTTCAAAATCAGGACTGCTCCAAGTTCCACCAGCTATCACAAATGTGGAAATACATAAACCCATACTTCCCTTTAAAGAAAATATTAAGAGCACAGACTGAAATATCAACAAATCCCCAAATTTTACATTACCATTAGAAGCTTGAACTTCGTATGAACAAGATTATTCATCAAAATCCTAGCCAGTCAACTACACACTGCAGTGTAAGTGCTTTCACTGGGGCTTAAGTCTGTATATAATTAAGAGGCACCAATATCCATGCTGACTCAAGAAGCTATGCTTAGCATGAAGAAGGAGGCAGGAGGTTACTTTCCCACAATAATCTATTGATTGTTTGAGACTGCAGAGCAGGTACTAGAATTCAACTGTCTTATTTCTCAAACTATTAGGTATTACACAAAACCAACTCCCTAACTGTTTTTCAAACTATGAATATCAGCTTTCGATAGTCAAGTCTTCTGTTGATATTCAAAGTCACACAGAATCACCAAGGCTGGAAAAGACCTTTAAGATCAAGTCCAGTCTATGACCAACACCATCAAGGCAGAACATTTGGTACTGGTAACATACTTCAGTATTTTTATGAAAGACAAAAGGATGCAGGAGATTCCAAAGGTTAAGAAAAAAAACACAACACAACCCCATGCTTGTAACATTTTATATAGTCAGAAGTAGGATGCCCTTTCTTTACTAAGGCCTGGCACTTGTAATCCCTCAACAAATAAACATAACATAGATAAAAACTAAATGTTCAAAAACGAGCCAGAAAACATTAACTGGCTTTAGCAAAGAATAAGGAAAAACCTTACAAGATCTACTATGAAAAATTACCCTCAGCAGCATCTGATACAATCAAACTGAATTTCCTTGCTAAAAACTAAACAGCAATTACATAAAATTAACCTGTCAGTTCACCCTAGTAAGGAGTGAAATCAAACATCAAATCCATCTCTAAGGATGCTAAACTATTCCCCTTCCTTACATACTTAAAAGGCCAATGGGAGCTCCTTGGTCTCCCCTCCCTGCTCTCCCCTTCCCTCCTCTCTTCAGGAACAAAGAGTAAACTGGTAAAAGTCAAAAAAAAGTGCAGCAAAACTCTAGGCATATTGAACTGACCTCACAAGTACTGCCATTACTTGAATTAAAAGACAAACAAGTTTAAATAAAACACTGTGGCTTTACATGTCTGTAGCTACTAACTTTATGGGATTTGTTTTGTGGCAAACTTAAAGGCTCTTGGTGCTGACAACAGATCATCCTTTGAAATTATACAAGTCTCATTTTATTTCAGAAAACAATTTTTAGGAGATCAGTCCCTCAAAACTACACAAAGAAACAAGTTTAAAGCATTTTACTTGTATTTAATTCGAACAGCAGGGGAAACAAACAGGCATGCACACTAATTTTCCAACTTCTGACACTTCTATTCAGAGTCCTAAAAGTAACTGTCAAAATATCTTAACAATTCTATTATAAATGCTTTTATTAGAACCAAGTAATATTTATTTTTAATATTAATCTAGCAGTGATAGGAAAAAGAAACACTACAAGTCACTGGAATGTTACAACCTGTATGTAAGACACCTCCTGGCAGACTGGCATTTCTGACTGCTGTAGCTTAAACCAGTTTCAGGAGGAAATTGCTTAAAGTTTCTTATTTGAATTGGCAAAGTGCTTTGTTTAAAAAAAAGTGTTTTTTACCTGCAGTAAAGTTCGGTGGTGCTTCAGTGTTCCAGCTTGCCTGTTTACAGGAAAAGGCTACTATATTAGCCTTTGTTTCTGTATTTAACAAACATGACTATTAAGAAAATGTGATAATATTCACAGAAAAATTCCTTTTCCTCTCTTAAATATTCTACTACATGCAGAATTCCAAGTTTGTTGCCACTTAATACCTCCAAATATATATGCTTAAAAAAGCTCAATTATGATTTTTTAATTTATTTTTACTATTATTATTTTCAACAGCTCATCTGTTATTAATTTGATACTTCAGAGTTAGATATTTTTTAAATTGTTACAGAATTCTGTAGAGTTAATAAAACAAGGTATTATGCTGAACAACATTATGGACATAGACAATTTCTCTTGTCAAGCACATAAGTGCATAGAGAACACAGTCTAAAAAGAACATTAAAAACCAGCAAATGCTCTTTTAAGAGGTAACTATAGCTAAAAAATATGCCTAGACTTGTTAATCTAGATGAAAATAAAACCAAAACCTCAGAAAAACCATAAGTCCCCTCAAGCCATGTTCTTATGGGCATTCAGCTGACTCCAAATTGAAGTTCTTTCACTAATGCTATAGGATTCTTCCCATAAAAATCCTTTCAAGGTGAAAAATAACACCTGCCTACTTTCAGAAACTAAAATATCTACATGGTGTTGCTAGCTCTTCATATGTTGGTTCACTATATCTAAATTTTCCATGCCTTCTGGGAATCTAGCAATTGTTTATTGATATCTTCCCCATTTTAAAGCCGGCAATTGAACAGACAGTTGTTAGGACAATGAGTTTCTGGTTTCTGACGCCCAAGTTGTGCTGACATAAAATCACTGTTTTTGCTTGCTGTAGACATGTAAGGTACTGTAGCATAGCTGAGCAGTTGCCAAAGATATGGAATAAAAAGGCTTGGCATCTATCACATACTTGACACCTAAAGAGCACAGAAGCTCTAAAATTCCTATTCCCTGTAGGCGCACTCTTAGTCTAGACAAACTGATTTCTCACACTTTTAAAATGCATTACAACACTCTATTGTGATCATTTCATCCACACAGCTCCAGCTAGTGACAGAAGAACCTGTCCTTTAAGCGACATTTCAATGGGCTAAAGCTCCCGCTCCAAGATGCCATTAAAACAATATAATACTTGAAAAGAACTATGCTGCACTGGATTGAACTCTTTACTGTGTCTTCAGTGCTTTGTTCTGAGTTCAAGTTCTCATTGAAACTACCTGTGAACCAACTTTCCAAAACAAAGATGTTTTTGACAGCTGGTTTCACATTACTAACTTTTTTTTTTTCTTTTTTCTTTTTTTTTTTTGTGTTTCTTTCTGAATTTTGCTATATTAGCACAGTAAAATGCTAGTGAGGTGTTCAGCTTTCAAAATCCTAAATAATAAGATGACAATATAAAAGAATTGAGATGTAAACTATATAGGTTTGTTTTATTAAAAATTAACAGTGTTTCACTTTTTTAACACAAGCTGTCAACTAAAAGGTGCATTCTGACACTGTTTTTCTTAATATACATGGAGGATTTGATAGAAACCTCTGAATGTTTTTCGAATTTAAAATACTAATTTTGAGTCATTTTGCCTCTTGGAATAAGCTGAGGGACTTACTATTTTTAAACACCAGAAATCACATCCAATTGCTTACAAATGAAGAGGACATTTTGTCTTTATTATAACACTATTTAAGAACAATTGTCATGGTGGAAAGCCTGGTAAAGCTTCTTGAAAGAGCAACAAGAAATTATACATGTACTATACAGCAGCAATAAAAACTGGATCACAGAGGCAGTGTCAATGAAAGCATTTAGCATGAAGATGACTTTTAAAGGAAATGAGAAGTTTTAAGTACCTCACTAATAGCACATATTCCAAAGGGGACAAGAAATGGAACTCAGGAATTCAAGGGGAAGAGACAAAATGATTGAAAGTTACCTCTGAAAACAAGAGACTTTGAATAGATGGGTCAGGTGTGCATAAAGGTGTCATGTCTCTCCTATCACATTTATTTCCACAGATAGGCAAAAACATAACCACTACAACTATCTACTGTTCAGCACCCCTCCCCTTTTTCTTTTTCTTTTTTTTTTTTTTTTTTAAATAAAGGAAACGGGGAACAAGCAATGGGAAGTTGATGTCAAAACACAGAAAAACCTCCCAGCAAGCTTCCAGCAACCACCCAGGATTTAGAGTCTTGCTAGCCGCTCTCTTTTCAATACCAGAATTTCACACATTTCAATGACCATTATGACTTCAAAGAATCAAATTTTCATCATTGTCCATCATCTGCCGGTTGATTTGTATAAAGGAGTTCTTCTGCATGCACTCCAGACAAAGGCCTCCTTACTTTCGTGGCTATATATCAAGTTTAAAAGTTCTGTTTGTGACAGTTGTGTCTGTGGTAAATTAGGGTAACACTGAAGGAGTGCAGCTGCTCTGCAGGAACCTCCTTTTTGGCATCATTTCACTTAAATAAAAACTGAATAATTAGCTTCTGCCTTTATTAAACCACAAAAAATGCCACTGGCCTTAGTAATTACTTCCGGTTGCCCCACGTACTTAACCTCAATAGTTTACACTTGTTAGAAAGGAGGGAAAGTAGAATTTTTCTGTACTTTATAGGAGTTTACAACAAGTTTCTCTCATTCCCAGCCCCAACATGTTTAACCAGAGTAAGTGCATAAAGTTTTGCTATAAATTCATGTTGAGATACACTTCCTTTAGGAGCTGTTACATCAAAGCACAGAACATATTGCATAATATAAAATAGCTGACATGGAAGAAGCTTTTTATTTAGCGTGCTCAGCTATATAGACTGTAAGTCAGGATGAGAACATTTACGTTTCTACACTTCAATACAGTATTTTTGAAACAAATGTGAGAGAAAAGAATCTACTATGCAAATTTTAAGTGGAAAAATGGAGCAGAATGAACCAATGTGGTCAG